TGCTGTTGGTTCAGCCAGTGTTGTCATGTCAGGCCGGTCGGGTAAATAGAGAGAAAATACTTTCTGCAAATACTGCACCTGTAAGTTAGACTGTAAATCCAGGACACATTGTGTTGGATCAGGAAGGTAAACATATGCCACCAGTAACACACCAAACTGGCCAATAAATCACAATCCAATTAGTTCACCGCTTTACCTTTTGATTTTAATCTGGCCACTAAAGCTAGCCACCATCTGTGGGAGACAGATCAGTCTCAGGGCAAGCACTGGAGCCTCAACCATTGTCATTAACGTACCCGAGTCCGCCAGACCGTAGCCAGAAGCCTTTCATTACGACCGTCAAGGGGTATACAATCCCATCTTTGCTAGTGACATCACTAGAGGTCATTTCAGGGGTCACCATAACCAGCACTGAATCACAAAAGCTCCCCGCCGGAGTTAATACCATTATGAAGAAATGCAGGCATGTGGAGCAGAGTTCAAGCCCATCAGAAAACAAGAGCCCCCACTGAGGAACGAAGGGAATCGACTCATTCACACAGTGGTCAATTATTCAATTACTCCTCCGCTTACTGGTGTTTGACCTCAGTGTTTCCTATCGGATTTGTTAAGCAGAGGGGGAGATTAGGGGAGGATGGGCTTTAGAAAAGTCTGGCGGAAAAAGGTAGTGATTGAAGCAGCTGGTGTGGTTAAAACAGTGGGGTTATCTCTCATGACTGGCACCAAACGCTGAACACAAAGAACATGCAGGTCTGCGTCAAACAAATCCCGCTTCTGACTTTAATTAGAGACCTGAATAAATGACCTCATGTGATGTCAAAGAGTCACCGCTTGTTTTTTTTTTTTTTTTTTGTGAATATGTTGCTTCTGAAAGGGTGGAAGTGACTGATAAAGTGGTTTTCTGTGAGCTTTGGGCCTTTCTCTTTCTCTCTTTTGTACTTTGAGTTAAGTGCTGATCCATTTTATTGTGTGTTTAACTAATTAAAGTCAAGAAGGAGGTGACCTAATGAGTGAAGAGTTCAGCCTAAATGAGAAGAGCAATTGAGAAACAGTGAGACTCTGTTGCAAAAATGTGTAAAGAGGTACAATCATTCTTTCTTTCGTTTCGGCTTAGTCCCTTTATCAATCAGGGGTCGCCACAGCAGAATGAACTTCCAACTTTTCCTGCATATGTTTTACGCAGTGGATGCTCTTCCAGTTGCAACTCATCACTGGGAAGAAGTACAATTGAGATTAAATTCTGCTGTTCAAGCAGACTAGGTATTTAAAGGGGAAGTTCACTCAAAACCAAAAATTCTCGCACGCATGGACCTGCTTAAACAACACTGGAATACGTCACATCCGGTCGGCCAGTCCCATATGATTTAGTCGCAGGAGTTCAAATATTTTAACGGATCCGCAGCTTAAATCAAATCCACATTTTCTGCATACAGAGATGATCGGAACTCCCGGACCACTTTCCATTAGAAATGAATGACTTTTGATCCGTCGCTTGTTATTTGTCTTGTGTATAGTGAAAAGTAGACTTAGCAGAGCAGCAAATGATCATACTGTATTATAAAGATATCTGAAGGATCATGTGACACTGAAGACTGCAGTAATGATGATGAAAATACAGCTTTGAATTACAAAAATAAATGACATTTGAAACTTCAATAACTAAGAAAACAAATATTTAAAAATGTAAAAAAATAAAAATAAAATCTTTATTTTTGATCAAATAAATGCAGCATTGGTGAGCAGAATTGGCTTCTTGTAAAACATTAACAAATCATCTTCCAAATGTTTGACTAGTTGTGTATATAAAAGACAATGTAATTTCTTAGTTAAAAAAAAGAAAAAAAACATACAGTGATATTTTTGCTTTTATAAAATGGATTATTGGTGCATGCAATGAATTCCCTTGGACTCTCAATACATGTTTGTGTTTGTTTTTGCTTGTCAAAGTGAGTGACATACTCTATAATCCCAGCTTTCATATACTTAAATCAACATTTACAATATTATTGTAGAAGATAAATATTGCACAACTCCAACTGGCACACGAATCATTCATAATTCATTACTAAATTCCCTTTGATCCAAGTTTCTTTAGATCATGCATTGATTACAGTTAGCTGCATTCACACACTCAGAAATAAAGCTATAAAATCTTTCACTGTGGCGGAACCTTTCCAACAGGTACAATTTGTATCATACAGGGGGTCATTAGTACCTTTAGGGTAAACTTTTGTGCAGTTTTAAGGTTTGCTTTTGTACTTTTAAGGTGCTACACTCACAAAAATATAGGTACGTGATCTGTCACTGGGGTGGTACCTTTTAGAAAGATTCAATTTTGTACCTTAAGGGTCCATATTAATACCTTAAGGGTACAAGTACTATTATACACCTTTGAGGTACTAATATGGACCCTTCAGGTACAAATGTGTACCCTTTGATATGGTACCACCCCAGTGGTATTTGTACTTTTTAGATATTAATATGTGGGAAATTCTGCCACAAACATAAAATAATAATAAAATAAAAATGTGACAGGGCCCAACCTTTAAGTATGTCCTGACTGAAAGATTATACAAAACAAGCATAAAATCATACAATTTAATGATAGAATGCATCCTTGATCACTGTCAGCATCTCCTCCATCAAATTATATCACTTCCAAGTCCTAGCCTTGAAGGTTTTATTCACGCATTTTATGTTCAATTCAATGCAAATGTGACAGGACTGACCAAACATAGGAACAATTGTATGTTTATTTGTATTATATATTTATAGCATTTATTTGTAGAATGTAAATGTTGTTATAATTTCATGTTTTTAATCAATTACTGTGAATGATAACAACTTAAACTTTGTTTTTTTTGTTTTTTTCTAAATAAGTTTTTAGCATAACAAAACTATTAAAGCTGTAGGTTCAATTGGGCTTAGGACAAGGAAAATGACTGGGTTTGGGCATTTGTAATGTGTTTTTAATAAAGAAAGAAATCTGAGAACTAAATAAATGACATATTCCTTTATAGAACAATTCACAGAAATCAACCATCAGTCTATTGAAGAAATTTCTGGGATGAAATATTTTTTATTCACTGTATTTATGTTTGTTTTTCAGTACAAAAAAAGTATGTTTCTGGTAGAATGTCCCATGTATTAATATTTTAGGTAAAAATATCTAAATTTCAAACCGAAAACAATATTATTTTACTTACTAGATTGTTTAGCTTGATTTAAGAAAGAAAATAACTAAATAAAAGTCTACTCATAATCTAATGAAAATTAGTTGGCATGTATATACAATGTAACTTAAATCTAAAAACCGGACTATCAAAATAAAGTGTGAACAAAAATGCACTTATTTTTTTTATTATTACTTCTATTATTAAGTCTAATTATTAAGTGAAAACTTGATTTACATTTTACATATTATTAGATATGATTTATTATATTATTAAATTTCTGTATCTGAATACTGTTAGACTCCCCAAAAACAACATTTCATATCGCAATGTATATTGCAGAGAAAACAACATATCACATTATCGTATTTTTCCAATATCGTGGTTAACTTTTGTACCTTTAAGGTATAATGTGGTTAATGTGAATTAGTTATATTATTTATTAAATTTCCCATTAATTGTATTTAATTAACGTCTACCCCAACCCTAAACCAAACCGTCACAGTAATGTAAAAACAGAGCTGGATCTGGAATCTATTAGTATAGCTGATTAACCATGTCGATGGATGATTACACCCTTCTAAGCCTACTAGTAGGCACAAAAAGCCCCTACTGTGCCATATCTATCAGCTGATAACCACTGATATCGCCTCTTCAATCAAGTGATAACATTCAAAGCAGGTGGTTAGAAACAAAAATGTACCTTTTGAAAAGGTACCACCCCAGTGACAGACTTTGTATCTTTATTTCTGAGATGGCAGCTACCAATAAACCCAGCAGCACACTGTGCAGTGTAACACATTCACTTTTTCAGAGCCATTCCACAGTATCCTACAGAGTAGTGTAGATTCGTTTACATGCAGCTTGATCAGGTATTGCAGACAACAGATGCCTTGTAAAACGGCAGCTAGTCTCCATAATCGACATAATTGTATTGTAGGTTTTAAAGTACAAGGTTGGTTCCCCATGTGCCATGTAAAGGTGACCTCCATTAAAGCGGCTCCGATCAACTGCAGCATTTTATCGCCGGCTCTGTTATGAATCTGAGGGGAAAATGGGCGTGAACTCTTTTTGTCTCCAGCCAGATGTCTGACTGGCGCCAGACTCCAAAAGGTTAAAGCAACTACTGATCCCTTACCGCACATCGCATCACGAGAGACTGCACAAGAACGAGTTTAATGGCGGAAAACATGACATTTAACTCAAAGTTCATCCACTTTGCTAAGACAAAAAGCACTGAATTTCTATATGCGCATTTTGGGCACATCTGCAAGCTTTGTGATTTAGCAGCCATGTGGTTCTGCTCTCTCTACTGCATCCAGCTAATCAAAATCTGTCACTGTTATAGTGCCATGAATTCATAATTCGGAATAATTTCAGGAACAGCTGCTGTGCATTACCATAACTGCAGGGGAGGATCTGTTTATTTATTATTTTTTCATACTTTATTTTTCGTATTCAGCAGGAAGAGGAAAGGAAAGAAAAAAATGCGCCTGCCACACATGCACTGACAAACAGTTTACAGAAATACAATTCACGTCTCCGGGGACTCGGTGATAGGGCGCTTTAATATGGAGATTCCTCTCACAGATGCATTTCAAGTAACTACAAGTTGGGTTAGACATTGAGGCGAGTTGCTCAGCAGGAGACATGCAGAATATGCAAGTCTTTGTGTCTGCGCAGGTGACAGGGTTGTTTTTTTCATATGAGATACCGCGGGCCGACTGTTAGCATATGGTTGCTGGGAAGTCTGGGTGTGCATGGCAGTGATTCTTGTTTGCCGTTGATGTCTGGTTGCCAATAAGATCTGTGTTGTGTTTGGTGCAGGTAGCGAGACCACAGCCTGGGTTGGAGTGAGATGCACTGACTCCTGGCAGACTGCAGATTTCCCTGTCATCCTCCGCTCTCGCCTCTGAAACTGTGGCCAGTCATGCGGTTGTTACGGAAAACCCTGCTTCTTTTGGCTGCTTGCCTTAATATGAGCAGCAGGTATCAAACTAACGCCCTGGAAATTCCACTTGATGGTAAGTAGAAGAAATGGCTTCCTGTTTTATGCAGTATTAATCTTGCAATATATCTTAACTTTACATATCTGACCATTTTTAATGCTGTTTCAGTTTAATTGTTTCCCATGTGTTCAATTGTATGCTCTCTGGAATAACAATGAATTACAGAAGCCTGTTTTCACCTCTAGCCCATTTTTATAGTAAAGAAAAAATATTTTAAATAAGTCTCTGATATTCTTAAAGTGTGTATGAGAAGTTTCTGCTCAAAATATGACACAAATAATATTTTATAACACTTTGAATCTGCCCCTTTTAGGCTTTAATCCTAATCGTGCCATTTTGTGGGCTGTTGCATTAAATTAAAATTAGATTGTCTTATTTTCAAAAGAGGGCGGAGCTACAACTGCCTGTGCATCAGCATAGTAGCAGATTCAACAACAAGACTAATGTCCTATGCTAATGAGGGAGAGATCGTCACTAATAGGCGGAGTTTTCCCTCTGATGACACATACAAATGGAGAATGTCAATCAAAGTGTTTCCACAGATTGTTTTTATCAAGTGTGATTATAAAAAAATAATATATATATTTTTTTTACACTTAAACGATGGTTATATTTACATACTGTTACCACACATCTGTGTTTAAACCTCTTTAAAAGTTATTTTTGCATAATAGATCACCTTTAAAGTTTATCAAAGTGATATTAAATTATGTGTTACTAATTGATCATTTCAGCATCAATACTGCAGTGCACATTCAGAAATCTGAATTAAAGTTGACCGGGAGCAACAGAACACATGTGGTTTGTAGAGTCACTGCTAAGTTTAACCATCATAGAGTAATCATTTGCATGGGATTTGACAGAGTTTAAAACATTTGAACACAACAGGAACATAGCCAGCCTAGTGAAAGGGGTGGTTCTTTTTTCTTAAAATTGGATCTTTTTGCAGTTATTCAACTCATTTTCTATTCAATAATGAGGTTTAAATACTGCATTTTAGTGACATTTTAAGCACCAAAAAAATTGCATATTTGGCCATTTGAATAATAATAAAAAAATAAACAATAATAATAATATCAATGTAGAGCTTTAACGGTTTTTCTAGATTCTCTTGTAAAAAAAAAAGTACATTTGAAAATTCATGGACAACAACAATAGCATAAAAAGTATTAATTTAGTCCACTTTTGGTACTTTACAAGTTTTTATTGATCCAAGATTTAGAATAAAAGTTACTTATAAAAAAAAGTTTGACAATGCAGTGAAAGTTGACGTTACTTGCAGCAGATTCTGCTTGGTCTTAAGGCCTTTTTCGATGGGTTTTTGTGATAACTTATGATGGCAAAGCAGTCGAATGAACTCATCTATGGGACAAATACTGGACCTTTGTCAGTGGGGGCTGCATCTTTCGAACCCCCTACAGTACTTTTGAAAGTGAAAACAAAACAATATTTTTACTTGATTTACATTTTATTTGTAAATATTTAAACTAGAAATGAGAGGAAAAACTTATTCAATTACTGCATCCAAATACTGTTCTCAGAACTTCCCAAACTACGTCAAAATCACGTTGTCCTTAGACGCTGGCTAGACATTGAATTTTGGTCACCTGACGTCATGATCTAAATCTAACCTAAAATTAACGTCTTATGATGTTGTGTGTCTGCTGGGAGATAGCACATAGATTTCAGAATAAAATGCACAGCTTATGTTTGCAACTTTATTTAGTAAAAGTGGCTTCATATATGTTGCTAATGTATGACTTTATTTCTCATAACTTCATAGTTTTTATTTTAATTAAATAATTTCAAATCATTACAGACTTGATTATTCTTGTTTTACATGAGATAAAAACAGGCTTCTTTAGTGATAATGCTGTGATTACAATAAATCTGTTTGAAACTTAGTGTTTGTGTGCAGGTTTACTCAAGCTGAGAGCAGGTATAATTTATTGCTAAGGCTATGTATTTCACCGTTTCCATGGTAACCATATAAAAGTCTATTTTGTTGCTGGTAAATTATTCACAATGTATCTTTAGGGCTTAAAAGATTTCTTTAGGGAACTCGGCACTTTTTTCCCCCTCCTGTTCTACTTTTATTTAGCCAATTATGGACCTGGAGTTAATTGTTTGTTGACAATGAGTTATTTGCTAGCAGTTCAAAGTCATATCTGTTCGGTTCTAACAAATCCCTGCACATTTGTTTCTCTGTGTGTTCCCTGCTGCGGTGGATTTGTTAGTTTTAGAGCGCATGAACAGTAAGTTTGTAATACCAAGCCATCCATAGATGTAGTATCTCTCATCCACTGTCATCCACCTGTACCATTAGATTTTTTCATTTCTGTATTTATTTTCCAAAATGCTGCAGAAATGCTGCAAAGATCAGCTCTTTTGTTGGAGGAATTACACTAAAGTACTGTGTAAGAACAATGAAGTCATATAGTTATATTTTCAATATTTATCATATTGGTACTTAAAGTACTTAAGTAGTGTTGTAATGGAACACAAATCTCACAGTTTGATCACATTACGGTTTATGCGTCACAGATCGGACCATTTTTTTCAGATCAGCCAAAAAGGGTACAAGACAACAATTTGCTCTCCATTTATTACAAAAACAGCATTGCTTGGAACTTTTGATTTTAACAAATATAACTTAGAACCTGTAATTTTATGAACAATAAAAGCAATAAATAATTAGATGAATAAAAATAAATGGTAAAATATTTAATACTGTGAAAAATGAGCCACTGTTGCTGATAATGCTTAATGTATAAACCTAACATTATAATTTGTACAACAAATAATGTTCATTTTGTCTCATTTTTCCACTAATGATTCAGTAACTCACTCCAAAAACTTTGGACCCTAACATACACCCGGTGCAATAAGGCGCTAGATGTGTTTGGCAGGATTTGTTGCTATTTTCAGACTTGCGCAACTCTTGTATCTATGTTTTGCACCACATTGTTTAAATAGCAAATCCGTTTGCGCCACTTCGTGTACTCATGGACTTGCTGTTGTAAAATAAAGGTGTGTTAAGAAGCATCGTTGGTGCGTTGCTATTTTAAAGAACTGAAAGAGACAGCACCATTGACCATATGAAAGCTGGTCCAAAGTCCATTAGTTATGCACCTATTTGGGTGCAAACGCTTACACATTGCTTAATACTCACAGGTTGTACAGCAATACACAAATATCTTTACATATAAATGGGGGGGGGGTTAGTTTATTCATGACAATTTGCATTTGTATAATGTTATTCTTATTAGCAGTATTATTTATTAAATGCGTGTTTATATTCGTTTGAATAAAAACAAGTTTAGATTTTGCATCACTCTATGGGTCATAAGAATAGGATATGTGTTTGGATATAACAGTTTTCTTGGCCACATGTTTACAAAGCAATGTACTACTTCACAATCTAAATATATATATATATATATATATATATATATATATATATATATATATATATATATATATATATATAAACACACACACACACACACACACTTACTAAGCGGATATCTATAAACTGTTATCACAGTATTCAAATCTCTTTCTCGATCAAACAGATTTGAATGCAGCAGAATTGAAGGATTAATAAACATCATCATCATCATCATTTATCATTTATGCTGCATGGGTGTTTGAATTCAGATCCTGACCTTTTAATGATTAATTGTGAAGCTAAACACTGAATGCATTGATGCAGGCTAAACAAGTAGTGACAGAAAACACATCTAATTACCTAATAAAACAGGCTAGGTGCCAGCACAACTTCTTCTGTCATCCTTATATTTTACAGGAAAGCCAAAATGCTTTCACACAAGCAATTTGATTGACGTGGGTATCTGTGATCTGTTACATCCCTACTGTATATGGTAAATAAATATCAGAAAACCAAAGTACCGTGATACTTTTTTGCCAGAATAAAGTTTAACCGGTATGTTCACTTAAACCAAAGCGTTTAGAGCTTTTTTGCAGTGTTTTGTGCCATAATGGACAGCCTCCAACAACCGAGCCAGCAAACCACTTTACATCTGTCAAATTGTAACCCATACCACCACTCCATCATGGATTTGACCAAGCATATCCAGTGTTACACTCAAACTGTATTAGCCATTAGTTTCTTCCTGTTTTCAACCACAAACGAACTCTCATTGACATTATTTGACCAGATTATTTGCCATTGCCTGATAACAACTCACTCTTGACCAACACCGCAGTCGATCATTCAATATCTAATTATGTTCTCCAACAAACATTTAGTTCACCTTTAGTCTTGTATGCATTGATCAAAATCGCTGACCTGATTGTGGAAAATCATTATGATTGAACCCAAGCCATTTCACCATTGCGTGCAGGTTGCATGCCACAGTATGCTTTTCCTCTACAGTCCACTGAGCTCTTCATTTCTGGCTGTTTCTTTATCTAGTGGAGCAGCTGCCCACAATTACAGAGTACTCTCCTGCCTCGCTCATCGCCTTCCCTTTCGAAGAGAGCTTCCCTGTGAAGTGTGAGGCCACAGGAAACCCTGAACCAGAGTAAGCAGAATGCACACACATATTCCGTTCACATATTTGGGAAGCAGTAAGCATATTATGGCTCGTTCACACCAAGAATTATAACTATATTAGCATCCACAACACCAGACAATATAGTTATTTTTATTCATGGATGGATCTGGGTTTCTCAGTAGCGGAAGACATCATAGTTGGGTAAACTTAGAGTGCAGTAAAATGGAGAGAATAACAAAGTCTAGTTGTTTTACAATCATATTTGCTCAAGTTAAAAAAAGAAAAAAAAATCCACTAAGGTGTTATCAGGACTTTCAATAAAAAATAAAAAAAAATGTGTGAGACTGATAACCGTAGCCAAAAATGAGAACAATGTCAAATTTATTATCCTGCGCACACTCTGGATTACAAATGCCTCACATAAACGGTAATTATTATTATGATTATTTTTTTATTATTTTTTTTTTTTTTTGCAATTTGATGCAAAGATGATACAATTCACACACAAATACATATGAATGTTTTTTGTTTAAAAAAAAAACTATTAAAAGTGCAGTATGTAAGTTTGACACCCAGTGTTTAAACTAGGTATTGCATTTCTGCATTAAAACAAATGCAAGCGCAGGTTTACAGATGACCAACAGGAGCGAGTTTCAAGCCTAATGGCTGATTTAAACCATGATAGAAGGAATATTTTCCATATTAAAAGAAGTTTTACTTCTAACCAACACCCTGAATTGATTGTTTAGAAACATTCATTTCTCACAGGTGAACAACAGGATAAACTGACAATGATCATCTCAAGTACACCTCATGTGCTTTATTCAGTGTCAAATGCTAAGAATGCAAGTTTAAATGCTATTTTACATGACATTATGGCTATACTATTGAAAGCAGCAACAGTTCACCTCAGATATTAAAATTGAAATAAACCTTAGCCTTTCAAAGTTAACGTTAGAACTGTAAAATAATGCAAACCAATGATTCAGCATCAACATTTAATAATGTTAAAGAAATTTAATATGTATTCATTAGATTATAAATCTTACCATTTCGTGAGTGAGAGCATATCCTGTGCTTCTAAATGCTGTATTCAAATTTCTGTTGTGTTTCATCTTGTGCAAACAGCCAAATTGCTTATCACTGCAAATCTCAGCACATGCTTTGAGAACCTTTCTGAATGAATGAATGAATGAGTAAATGAATGAATGAATGAATGAATGAATGAATGAATGAATGAATGAATGAATGAATGAATGAATGAAATACACTGTTTTTTAACAAGGAAAACCGGGTTGCTGAAATATAATTGGCTAAACTGGCATTGGGTGAGTTAAAAGAACCAAAACAAAGACAGATGTTAAGGCACCTAACAGATATTTTCAAAGCAGAATATCTGACTTAAGCATTGTTTTTTACAATAAACAAAAATGTTCATTTAGACATGTTGATCCTTGAGAAATTGTTCTAAAATGCAGATTTGGCACTCAATAAATGTGATAAATATGTTTTTATTTTTACAAATATTTTTTATTCAATCAATTTATTGCTTTACTTATCACTTTATTCATATTTGCTCAAGTAAAAAAAAAAAAAAAAAAAAAAACAGATATCCTGCATATATATATATATATATATATATATATATATATATATATATATATTTTTTTTTTTTTTTTTTTTTTTTTTTAGCTAAAATTATATTTAAAAAATAAATAAACAATTATAAATCAATAAAAATGGGTCCATGTTTTTCTTCACACTACACTAGTGTAACCAGATGAAGGTAGGATGTATTCTATGGACAGTTCCTGTTTTTCCACCATCATTCTGATTACAAATATTGTATTCAAAGGGATAGTTCACTCAGCAAATTAAATATTTAATCACTGTTTACTCACCCTCAGGTTGTTCCAAGAGTTTCTTCTGTTGAACACAAACAAAGATATCTGAAGAAAGGTGATAACCATTATCGTCCACAGTAGGAAAAACAAATACTATGAAAGTCAATGGTGATCTGTTGCCAGCTTTCTTGAAAAAAGAAAGTGTTTTTTTGTGTTCACCAGTAGAAAGAAAGTCAGGAGGTTTAGAATAAGTGTGGTGTGAGTAAATGATGACAGAATTTTCAGTTCTGGGTCAAAATATTCCTTTAAATCATTTTAGAAGTAATTGTACACTGTTAACAATTACCTGTAGAACCTAGAGTAATATACTGGCAGTACTTCGCCATTAACTTACTGTAAATCGATTACAGCAAAATACTACATTTATATTTACAGCACCATTAATCTTGCTCTATTTATGTATTAATAGTATTGCGTATCTTTACTGTAACATATATAGTCATTTTCACAATGCAACTTTAAAATACAGTAACTTACTGCATAACTGTCCTACAGTAAAATACCGGTCATATTACAGTTAAATTCATTACTGTGTAATTTACAAAAAATCATTAACAGTGTAGGAAACTTACAGTGCTGTTAAACTTTCTTATTAATAACATATACTGCTAAAATCTTATTATCATTTGTCTTCCTCCACTAATTACCTGCATGTGCTAGTTTTGCACTGAAAACTAGACCAGTGAAGGAAGAAACGACCTTGAAGAACGACCGCAGGAGCATCATCACGGTGCTGTCATGCTGCTTGATCAGCATCACCAGCTATTTTTGTGGGTGAACTGCTCTGCTAGATCAGCAGCACCAAACCAGCATGGAAATCCAGCAGGGTAGTTAGACTGAGAGAACCGCTCATAATCAAACCAAAAGAACACCAGAAACGCCCCACTGTCGTTTCAAAGCACGTTTCAAAGCCTCGTCTGAGCATTTGATGTCATTTTACATTGGAAGACCCGAGTGTAGAGTGCTCTTTGCATACTACTGTTGTTTTCATCACATTTCAAAGGACACATGCTGAGTGCTGTAATTTCATTTAATCACTGATCGTTTCTGTCTTTCCAGATTCAGGTGGACAAAGAACGGCCAAGACTTTGATCCGTATCAGGACACCAGATTGATAACGTTAGATGATTCCGGAACATTCATCATTCCCAATACCGGAAATCTCACTGAATTCCAGGGCATTTATCGCTGTTTTGCAACCAACAAATTGGGGACAGCCATGTCAGAAGAAATTGAGTTCATTATTCCTAGTGAGTAATATATCCGCTTGTTAAGATGTGATGTATGGTATACTTAAGATCCAAGCCTCTACTCATTTGAATTGAGAAAATATTAATTTATGACCATTTTGTTGTCACATCACACATTAAAGTGAATTTTATATACAATTATGGACTTGCTGCATCACAGACAATTTACAGTATAATAAAAATGTATCACTTTCTGGCCAATATTTCAATGACCAATGTATCACTTTCTGGCCATATCACTTTCTGATATTAGACATGGATATATATATATATATATATATATATATATTGTGATTGTGATTTTCAAAATATTACATCGCTTTGTAAACGTTTATTATTAGCATTTGTTGAGTCTTCCTAATCAGTTTAATATAGCCTTTGGACTCAAGAGCCGTTTCGCTTGACGTCACACTTAACATGCTTTTTTATGCTGCGTAATGACGCTTTTTACACTGTTACACATTTTATTATGTTTTTGCTGTAACTTATTGTATTTTATTGTATTTGATGATATTGTAAATGCAGCAGTGATGCAGTCGATATACCGGTCTGTTGTGGTAAAAAAGGAGCTGAGCCGAAACGCAAAGCTCTCGATTTACCGGTCAATCTACAAACCTACTCTCACCTATGATCATGAGCTTTGGGTCATGACCGAAAATACAAGATCTTGTATATAAGCAACCGTAATGAGTTTACTTCGCAGGGTGGCAGGGTGCACCCTTATAGATAAGGTGATGAGCTGTGTCACCCGGGAGCAGCTGAGAGTAGAGCCGCTGCTCTTCCACATTGAGAGAAGTCAGCTGAGGTGGCTTGAGCATCTATTTCGGATGCCTACCTAGGGAGGTGTTTCAGGCATGTCCCACTGAAAGGAGGCCTCGGGGAACACCTAGAACACGCTGGAGGGACTATGTCTCTCGGCTGGCCTGGAAACACCACAGGATCCACCCGGAGGAGCCGGAGGAAGTGTCTGGGGAAAGGGAAGTCTGGAGTTCTCTCCTAAGACTGCTATTCCCGCAACCTGGCGCCGGATGAATTGACGAAAATGAGATGCGATGAGATATTGTAAATTATATTGTACCATTTCATTGAACTTTTGCAGCACTGTTGCCAGCAATTTATCACAACTGCCCCTTTACAATAACTTACCTGTAAATGCGTTTTACAGTAGCAGAGTCTTACCTCAATTGCTTTTTACAATAAAATAGCCTTACCGCAACTACTTTTTATGGTAAAATATCATTTACCACATTTAAAGTTTACAGTATGACAATTTTTACAGTATTTTTACTGTTATTTATTTACATTTTACACTGGCAGTACAAAATCTTGATTTTTTAGTTTTTACTTTTGAATTTAATATATTCCAAAAAAGCGTCATGTAAAACAGTATTTGTATCATTCATTGTTATTATATCCATCTTAATTGGTTTATAAAAGTTTCATTCATCAATCTATTTTAAATACATTTTGTGATACAAGCTGTTCATATTTTTTTCAGTATCTGTCTACAATTAGAGTAGCTGTCCTTTGATTACATGAAAATACTGCAAATTCCTAATATGCAGTAAATTGCTGTTAAAGTTTTAAAGTTACACACAATGCTATGCGTATACAGTAGTAAACTGTAAAGAATGCATTTGGTATTTTACTGGACATTTTTGCAGTAAACAACTGTACGTTTTCAGCAAAGTCTAACAGTACATATAAAGACTGGTGTCCAATAAAACAACTGCTCTGGTCCTGAGTGGGATATTCATTTTAGAAACCCTCAAGCTTTTGTTGCCTTTCATCACAGTGTGTGTTGCCTTGGAGTAGGTGGCTGATGAAAAATGAGTTTTGTTCTCTCTCTCCATCATTTCCCAACATGGCATTTCTCATGGTGTTCTGAAATACACCACACAAATCTCCAAAGATGCAACCGGGCCACAAAGTAATCAGTTACCAAACAAAACCAGTCATTCATCTATACAGAAGTTTCAACAGCAGACTGATGTGATATTTCCAGGCTTTGGGTCTAAATTTGAGAAGCAATCTCTTTCAAGGAATGCCTTCAGGGTGAATGTCTGGCTTACACTGCCACCTAATGGTGGCTTAATTTGTGAAATGGTGCGTAATGGCATGCATTGATTCAATTAGCTTGTTTGATTCTGCAGATGTCCCAAAGTTCCCCAAAGAGATCATCGATCCGATTGAGGTGATGGAAGGTCAGTCAGTCATTCTAGAGTGCAATCCACCTACAGGGATCCCTCCATTGCAAATCTACTGGATGACAATAAGTAAGTAAATGTAGGTTATTTTGGTTAAATTAATTGCAGTGTTTTCAGTGATCATCTGATTAATATTGTTCATATTCTTCGTTGGCTGTCCACAAACATCATAGATATTATGCTTTGACCCTCAATAACTGTAGTTGTATCTGAGGCCTAAAAGAGTTTGGTTTGTGTTGGCGATATGTTGAAATGATGTTTTTTTCTTCTTCCTGCCACATGAAGGTAAGTTCACTTTCGAAGAAGCATGATTTAAAGTGATATGGTGAAATTATCATTACTGTTTATGTCATTATATTTGCAAGTGCTTAGGAAGCCACCAGATTGAAGTTCGGATATTGTAATGACCGATTGGTTTTTGACATGTTCTGTATGTGATAGAGCAATCACAATAGACTAAGCCATCAGACCAATCAGCAGAGCAGACTTTCAGGATTTATGTATATATAAAATAAATATATCTTTGTTTTCACTTTCAAATTAAAATTGAAAGTTTAAATCTCACCTGGCCAGTGTGCATCAACAGCTGTAATCTTTCTGAATAGTGGTTTTTGTTCTAGTTGTTTGATTAATTTTTAAATACATGAGCATCCTCACCTAAAAGCAATCTGATCAATTGTGTATTCGACCATGCTTGAAATCTTAATGCCAAGTGTAAACAAGGCCTGTGAGAAACGAGGTGATGCCACATTTTTATTTTATGACAACCAGCATGTTTCTCTGAACTTGGAGGAATGGTACATCTATTAAATGTAGAAGATCTCAATACGAAACTTACTATAACATAATAGGTGCACTTTAAAGCAATAGTTCACCCGTAGCTAAAAATTCTTTACATGGACACAAAAGAAAATAGTTTGAAAAATATTGAAAACTGTTAACCATTGACCTACATAGTATTTGTTTTTCATACTATGGATGTTTATGATAACTGGTTTCTAACATACATTGAAATAGTTTCTTTTGTGTTCAGTGAAAGAAAATAGAAACTCAAACTGGTTTAAAACCAATTAAGGGTGAGTAAATAATGTGTAAATTACAATTTTGGGGGGTGAACTACCCCTTTAAAATGGATCACTGATTTCTACTTTAGCGTCAGATGTGTAAAAAGTTAACTAGTAAAATGTATTGCTCATTAAAGTAATCATTTCTAATTGTTTCTCTTGTTCCAAACGTAATATTACCTAAAATTTACCAAAGAATTTTTGGGGAAAAAACAGACATTGACTTTCATAGTAATTTGTGTACCTACTGTACTATGGATGTCAATGGCAGATTTTTTTTTCCCCCAGCATTATTCAGAATATAATTTTTTTGTATTAAAAAAAAAATCATAAAACTTTAGAACCACTTGAGTGTGATTAAATGAGTAAATGTAATTTTTTTTAAAGCAAACTATCCCTTTAAATGCTTTAACCTTCATTTTTCACAGGTCTACAGCACATCGAGCAGGACGAAAGAGTGTCAGTGGGTCTGAATGGAAACCTGTACTTCTCAAACACCGTTGAAACTGATAGCCGCAGAGACTATTGCTGCTTTGCTGCCTTCCCTCGCATCCGAACTATCGTCCAGAAAACCGCTATGTCCATGGTGGTCAAAAGCAGTATGTAAAAATAATCCTTCGATTGCAGAACATGATCATTTCCTGACATGACCAGCATTGATTTCAAACACATCGGTTTTGATGTATCATGCAGTCAATCTCCAAGTGATTAGCTGAACATCAGCAAATCACCTTAGACATTGATTTCTTTCCTGTGATGACTTGTCGGTGTCTTTCCATATTGTTTTATGTCTTATGTTTCATTTGATTTTGCATTGCCACACATATTTCCCTTTATTTGTCTTCATTTTTTTCATTCAAGACAAGTTAATGAAGGACTCAAGCTCTGGTAGCGGCAGAGGTTATGGTGAGTGATGTTCATTAGAGATGCGACAGTACTGTTCATGGGCATAAAGCAGCTCTTTTGTTTTTAATTAGTTCTGAGTAATTATCTCATCCCATGTCACATCACACTTGCTTACTCTTTAGCCTAGATGTACAAATCTCAAAGGATTTCTGTAAGCATGATTGGAATAATCCATATGGCCATCCATAACTCTTTTTCTCTACTAGTGTCGCATGTGCATTATTTTTAAGTGATTTAATATGTATGAGATTTGCAGTTTTGCTGGATTTGTGATATTTATTAGGAATAGATTTGAGTAAAATTTTAATATTAGTTATATTCTAGGTCAGATAACATTTCATCAATTTAAATTAAAAATACTGTCTATTAGATTTTTTTGCTTCAGAAAATGACAATTTGAGAGAATAAATATCTTTAATTATTCAGATTAAAAATGTAAAATTATGATTATTCTTCCACAAATACATTTCTTAACTCTTCTAAAGTTAGAATAGGGAATATGTTGTCTGAAAATGAATTTAAGTATGTTTAAATATTATATTAACATTTTTTCAATTTTTTTGTTATATAATAAAATTTCTTTTAGAGCCCTTTATATATATATATATATATATATATATATATATATATTAAATTATATATTATATATTTATAAATGACAACATTTTATACATTTTAAATTTGAAACACATTTCTTCAGTATAAACAGCAAAAATCAGTTCAAAGAACTCGCAAAATGTAAAAAAAAAAAAAAAGTTATTCATTCAATTATTTTCTTTTCGGTTTAGTCCTTTTATTGATCCGGGGTCGCCACAACAGAATGAACCGGTAAATATTTATAGTATATTATATTTTTTATTTTTTTTTATTGTTTTTTGCTGTTTATTTTGATGAATCCATTATCCAAAGAGCACTGACAAATTATTTAAGCTACCCCTGAGCACTTTTTGTTTGATTTTACATTTCATCAGTAGATAATAATATTAATACAATACAATAATACAATAATAAAAAATAACTCAAATGTGTAAGTGATTTTTTTTTCCATTAAGTTTTCATTATATATTATATTATATTATATTATATTATATTATATTATATTATATTATATTAAATTATATTATATTATATTATATTATATTATATTATATTATATTATATTATATTATATTATATTATATTATATTATATTTTTTTACTGTTCTAAAGCAAACTCCCTGTTGGAGAGGAAGCCCAGCCTGTTGGCGCCTACAGGAATGGAGTCACATACACGCCTGGTGAAAGGTGAAGATCTTCAGTTGGAGTGTATAGCAGAGGGATTGTAAGTGTCATTGTCTCATTTGATTTATTACTTCAGTTGATTTGTTAATCTGATCTAATTAAGACATTAATTTACAGTTTATTGCATCACTTGAAATGCATTTCAAATCTAGTGGAGATGCTTCAACATCAATTCTTGTATGAAATCTGTATTTAACAGAATCAAGCTGCATGAATATAAAGTGCTTAGATTGTAATTATAGGTGTGTTCACATATGGCAGCTTCAGCTCTTTTGTTGTGGTTTATTTTTAAAAATTGGAAACATTGTTTTCTGAACCATAGATAACAAAACAAGCTTACAGAGACAACTAATGTTCTCTTTCCAGACAATCTCTAGTGGAGTTCAACAGAAATATGAATACAACATGCACTAAAACATCTAAACAAATAAAAAATGGAGCGAGAAGTCACTAAATACTATCGTAAACAGGACAGATGCTGTTTTTAGTTTCTTTTTTATAATCATAGTGTTGTTGATTATAGTTTAATACAGGCATCATAATTACATCTCTTTACAACAGACATTTGTTTCTAATAGAGGATTTCTTACTTGTTTTGACTCTTTTATACATTTTATAAGCCAACCATGAGTTCTGATAAGCTATAAAAAATGCTAAATTTTGACTTTTTTCTAGTCCAAATATCTACAAATTCCAAGAATTCCAAAATTGTTTTTAAGACAAGTAAGCTTGTTGTAAGGAAAATCTCACAACATTTTGACTTATCATTTCTTATGTCAAAATGTCGTTAAAATTTCATTTTGAATTAATATTTTTTAAAACAAAAAAAAAAACAATGTTTTTACTTGTCTAGAAAATAAGAAAATAAGACAAAAACACATGTACTGCAGTGTAGAAATTGTAATCAATTGTAATTAATATTATTTAAATATTTTTATAGTTATTTGTGTGTTAGGTTTGATCTTAAAAACACAAAAAAACACTTGAACGTGAAGTGAACCACGACCAAATTATTACTACTATTATTATTATTATTATTATTATTATTATTATTATTATTATTATTATTAATATTATTTATTTATTTTTTATTTTTTGCCAAACTGCAAAAGTGAACACACAATTATATTATTGAATAGGGTTTTTTTATTGCTTAATAAATAAAAATAATTTAAAAATAAAAATTAATTAAGAATACTCAGCTATTTGGGTCTTGGACTGATATTAGGAACATTCTACCAGAAACGTATATTTTTGCTGTGACAGGGCCTGACCTTTAGACTTGTCCTCCTCAAAAAAATCATACAAAACAAGCATACAATCATAAAATTCAATGACAGAACCCATCTTTGATCACTGTCAGCTTCTCTTCCATCAAAGGATGTCACTTCCTCTGAGTCATAGCCTTAAAGATGTACATTTAATGCAAATGTGACAGGACTGACAGAAACATTAGGACAATTGTAAAATAGTTAGTATTTGCAGAATTGATTTATAATGTCATGCTTTTGATCAAATGATGTGAATGATAACAACTTAAATTAGCTATGTTTTTTCCCCCCTAAATAACAGTTTAAGGACAATGACATGGCATGTAAATTTGTAAGGTTTTTAACAAAGAAATATGAAATCTGAAAATGAAAATGTAAAGGAATGGCCTATTCCTCTGTGAAACAACTCAGAAATCAACCATAAGTCCATTTTAGAAGTTTTTGCAATGAAATACTTTTTATTCACTGTATTTATGTTTTTATTTCTGGGACAGATAATGTACATTTCTAGGAGAATGTCCCATTAAAAAATACACAAGTGATTGTGAATCCTTCATTCTTGATCTAAAATGGTTATTTATTTATTAGTTTTTTTACTTATTGTGCACAGTGATTTTACATTTTCTTTTCTCACTAAACCAGCACATTAATTAACAGTCTCTGTGTTTTAATTATAATATTTACCATTTTTCAGCCCCACGCCAAAGGTGGAATGGGTTAAAATAGGCTTCAACAAGCTTCCAGAAAGGGTTGTTGTGGAGAGTCATGGGAAGCTGCTCACTGTTGAGATGGTGAATGAGGAGGATGAAGGCAAATATATGTGCAGAGCCAAAAATCCCCACGGAGAGGTGGTGCATCATTTTCATGTGACAGTAGAGGGTGAGTCACATCATTAATCTCATTTTATAACCACAGCAAATATGCCACTATTGCTTTATGAATGGTTTCAATATCATGGTTTTATTTTCTTGTGGTAAAAGAGCGCCATCTTCTGTCCGAAGAAAAAACTTTCCAACAGTAATAATAGAATCCTTTAATTACATCAATTATTTTTTTTTAATTACCTCAACCACATTTTTCTTTTTTAATGTCTGAGAATATTTCTGATTTGCTTTATATTTAATGTTTATTTGTTTTTATCACATATAATGTTCTGTACTTTAGTCAAGGTGGATGTCATATTGATATTAAAGGGATAGTCAACTAGTAATTAAACATTCCCAACTATTTATTCTCCCGCAGCTGTTTCCAAAATTAATTCTTGTGTGGAAAAACAAATAAATAAAATAAAAGCACAAGATATTCAGGAAAAAAGCTGGAAATATGTAACTATTGACCTCCATACTAAGCAAAACAAATACAATGGAAGTCAATGGTTTCCACTTTTCGTCAAAATGTCTACTTTTGTGTTCAACAGAGGAAAGAAAGTCATAAAGGTTTGGAACCAATTGAGGGTCAGTAAATAATAAGTAAATTTTCATTTCAGGAGAACTATCCCTTTAACACAAAAAAATAAAAAAAAATAAAATCAAGGCTTTGAGGCATAGATATACTATTAATTTTGTCTATATTTTAAAAGCGTTTGCAAAAAAGAAAGCACTAGACTGACTCTGCTGTTAATACTGTGATTTGCATTTATCTTGTCATGTGTATAATATAATGTTTTATGTAACTCAGAGCCTCCTGAGTTTGAGATTGAACCTCAAAGCCAACTGGTGACGATTGGAGCTGATGTATTGATCAAGTGTGTCGTGAAAGGAAATCCTCAACCTACTGTAGGATGGAGAGTTAACGGGCGGCCACTGAACGGTAGATACATGTTTCTTACAATCTTACAGTAACAGTTTTATGTTTTATTTTAGTTTTTTATTTATTATATTAAATAATAATAATTAAAAAAAAACTTGAATTAAATTAAGAAAAAAATTCTAGTTTCAGTTTCTGTCCTGTACAGTATTTAGGCTTGTATTTGGATTACATATAGTATACAATTGTGTTGAAAAAATCTTCTGTCCGTTAAGCAACATTTGGGAATTTATTTTAAAGAATTAAAATTTCACAGGAGGGCTAATAATATTGAATTCAACTGCATAAATACAGTCAAACCCGAAATTATACATACTCCATATGTATAAATGTCTGATAACCTTTATTGGCAAAAAATAAAATGAATTTGTCAAAGCAACACTTTTTTTTTTTTTTTTATCTGGTCAAATATTGCATTTGCATATTTGCACTGATGTTTTTTTTTTATTTTTTTTTATTTATTTTGTTGTTGTTGTTGTTTTTGGAGGACATGTCTCTAGTAGTTTATAAAAATATGTTAAAGAATAAAGAATACAATTTAAATACCATTTACCCAAATGCATAACTTGAAATGGTAAATCCAAAGTAACCAAAGAATTGTCAAGTTAAGTTTACTCAAAGGTGTATATATGACTTAAAATGTTGACAATTATGATTATGACATGTAATACAGAGCATAAATCAGAGCGGTTTTATTACTTCCTCAATGCCTTGTCAAGCATTACATGAGGTAACTTTGTTAATACAAATTGTCACCAATTTTTCTTTGTCTTTACAGTTGAAGTCAGAATCATTAACCCCCCTGAATTATTAGCCCCCTGTTTATTTATTTCTGCAATTTCTGTTTAATGGAGAGCAGCTTTGTTTCAACCCATTTTTAAACATAATAGTTTTAATAATTAATTTCTAATAACGGATTTATTTTATCTTTGCTGTGATGACAGTAAATAATATTTTACTAGATATTTTATTAGATTTTTATATTTCTATACAGCTTAAAGTGACATTTAAGGCTTAACTAGGTTAATTAGGTTTACTAGACAGGTTAGGGTAATTAGGCAAGTTACTGTGTAATGATGGTTTGTTCTGTAGACTATCGGAAAAAAAAATAGCTTAAAGGGGCTAATAATTTTGACCTTAAAATGTTTTTTTAAAAATGTAAAAACTGCTTTTACTCTAGCTGAAATAAAATTATATATATATACACATACAGTTGAAGTAAGAATTATTAGCCCCCCTTTGATATTAGATTTTTTTTTCCCAAATGATGTTTAACAGAGCAAGGAATTTATCACAGTATATTTGATAATGTTTCTTCTTCTGTAAAAAAAAAAAAAAAAAAAAAAAAAAAAAATATATATATATATATATATATATATATATATATATATATATATATATATATATATATATATATATATATATATATATTTTTTTTTTTTTATTTTTTTTTTATTAAAGTTCTTCCAAACACAAGTGCATCCTGCAATTCTGTTTTTTAACTTAACTTGTATCCTATATTTCTGTTTCAGAGGTCCCAACATCCAACAGGAAGATCTTGAAAGATGGCACAATTTCCATCCACAATGCAAACCCAGAAAACAGTGCTGTTTACCAATGCGAGGCAACCAACAAACACGGCACCATCCTGGCCAATGCCAACATCATGATTATGAGTGAGTAAACTGTACACAGCTGTGGAGTATTTCACTCGCAGTTCCGTTCAAATTGCACAGAGTCTTCCAATTTGGAACTGAACTCTGATATAGAGTTGCATTCCATAATAATGAGCAGTTATTGTTTTCTAGTACAGATGTTACCATTCTTAAACTTATAAAGGCACTTGTTGCACTGATATGTGCATATTTCTGATCCCTCAATATGATAAATATGGTCAAAATTTTATTTAAATAAAAAATAAATAAAATGAATGAATGAATGAATGAATGAATGAATGAATGAATGAATCAATCAATCAATCAATCAATCAATCAATCAATCAATCAATCAAAATATAAATAAAATGAATACATTAATCAATCAATCAATCTAAATATTTTAATTAATTATTCATGCATTATTTTTTTAATAATGTATAATTAATTAATTAATCTGCTGATTTTTTTATGAAATAAATGTAAGAATAGCTTTTATTTAGTTTGTGCTATTATAAAAAGATTTAATGAATCAGTCTGAGTATGAGCAAATCAATATAATACTCAAATACATTTATTATTATTATTTTATTTTATGCAGTTCAATGTACAATACACATTTTCTGACTTTTTTATGTTATGGATTAAATATGGTTAATACTACAGCAAATAAAAAAAGACTAGTGGCATTCTCATTTTTTTTTTCGCCTTCTGGGATATTCATGGTTTCATTTATTTTCAGCCCCCCTAAAAAATCAGTGACGTTGCCTATCCATGAAGGAGCATGTGTTTTTTGTTGGTGTGGAAAGAGCTATAAGCAGAGGTGTGATATGGGTTTTGTTCAGGTCTTCATGATGGCACACAGGCTTCGGGGAGGAGCATTGCTGTCAGTTCTGTTCTCCACACACACTCTCCCTCGGGCAGTCTGATGCGTTTATGTGGCAACAATTTCACCTTGTTCCATTCATATTCACTTTCTGTAACCAAGGCATGTGCTGCTTTCATCAGAAAGATAATATGAGTCCTCGTGCTAGAAAGCCAGACTGTGAAATTGTTGATTTTTTAAACTCAAATATTTTCACTATTGTGCTAAATTGAGTTCCAGCTAGCAGACTTTTCCCAATCATATCCCCCTCTTTCTCCAGCTTTGCTTTCAGTCTAAAGTCTGTCCTAGCCTAATAAAGGCAGAAGTGCCAAAAATAAGTTCATTGTACTTAATAGAAACACAATTTTGAGCTTATGACAATCATATTTCTGACAGATTTAGGACAAGTTATGTTGATTTGATACTGTAATGTCAACTTGTAATGGCAAAGACACTGACACGTTTTGTTATTTTGGTAATGCCAAGTTGTCATGACTAAGAGAGGTTGTGATGTATTTGGTTATGTCAAGTTGTCATAAAGGGGTGGCACGGTGGTTAGCAATGTTGCCTCACCGCGAGTAGGTCACTGGTTCGTGTCCCAGCTGGGCCAGTTGGCATTTCTGTGTGAAGTTTGCATGTTCCCCCCGTGTTGGCGTAGGTTTCCACCGGGTTCTCCGGTTTCCCCCACAGTCCAAAGACATGCGGTACAGGTTAATTGGATAGTTTTATATATATATATATATACACACACACTCTCAGAAATAAAGGTATTTGAGCTGTCACTGGGGTGGTACCTTTTCAAAAGGTACACATTTGTACCTAAAGTGTCCATGTTAATACCTCAAGGGTACATATTAGTACCTAAAAAGTACAAAAGTGTTCCTCTTTAAATTTTTAGGTAGTAATATGTACTTTTTAGGTACCAATATGGACTCTTTAGGAACAAATGTTTACCTTTTTAAAAGGTACCACCCAGTGACAACTCGCGTACCTTTATTTCCGAGAGCGTATATATATATATATATATATAATAAATGAAACATGAAGTCTATGTGTATAGTTTCTTTTTTTCAGTAATTATCCTTCTAAAGCAAAAGCTGCAAGTTTTTACATTGCAAAATCAGAAAGAGTTGGGTTGTTGTGTACAGGGTGTACAGTATATACTGTACATAATTAACCTGCAGTTAAACAATTAAGTGTACTTTTCAAAAACATGATGTCTATCTATGTACATAATACATTTTCAACTATCAAGTGATTAATAACTATTCATAATGATCACATTGCATTAATAATAAGAACAAAGAAAAGAAACAAAAGCCTAAATATTTCTGAAACCCTGCTAGACAGAGCAGGACGCTACTTTTCCAAGGGCAATAACTTTTTTTTTTACCTTTTTCAAACTAAACTGATAACAGCGTGCATCAGAAGACAAGAGATAAAGAGACTAATCCAATCGTGTTTTGTCGTGTTTAATGGTGCAATGCTGATAACTCTCTTCCCAGACATCCAGCCGCTGATCTTAACAGAAAACAATCTGCAATATATGGCGGTGGAGGGGAAAAGTGTGGTCATGCACTGCAAGGTCTTCAGCTCTCCAGCCTCCAGCATTACGTGGTGAGTTTGTGTTTCTATTTGTTTGTTTGTTTTAGGCCCAGCAGAGGGCAGCAGAGCTCTAGAGGCAGTCTGCATCAGCATTTTGTTTGCATTGATGAAGTAGTTTACTCAAGGGTGGAGCCCTCAGGCTGTGTTCAGCTCTGTGATAATGAGCTAAACTACTCATGTGCATCTGTAAGTATGGACTGCTGTTAGGTTAAAGCAATAACAGCAGAAGTGTTGACTGTGGTTGCACATGAGAGAAAGCAAACAGAGCTTTTTAATGTGTTCATAAAAGGTACATCGTTCGTAAGTTTGTGGTCTTTTATGAATGCCATGGCTGGATTTATTATATTGACAAACCAGCAAACAGATATTTAAGTTTTATTATTATTATTATTATTATTATTATTATTGTTATTTAATTTATCTAAATGTTTATCTAAAATAAATGTAATTAATTTCTGAGATGTCAGTGTTGAAAACATGCTGTTTATTATTGTAAATGGTAAATGGTAAATTAGGGAACACTAATTCCAAAATGCCATTACAGTGTATAAATATACATAAATACATCTATATATAATATTTTTTTTTCTTCTGGAGAAAGTTTCATTAGTTTTATTTTGGCTAGAATAAAATCAGTTTTTATTTATTTATTTATTTATTTTTAACAAAGATTTTCTGGAAAAAATTCTTAGCTCCTTCAAGCTATATATTTTGTATATATGTTTTGTTTACACAGAACAAACCATCGTCATACAATAACTTGCCTAATTACCCTAACCAGCCTAGTTAACCTAATTAACCTAGTTAAGTCTTTAAATGTCACTTTAAGCTGTACAGAAGGGTCTTGAAAATATCTAGTAAAATCTTATGTTCTGTCATCATGACAAAGATAAAAGAAATCAGTTATTAGAAATGAGTTATTAAAACTAGTATGTTTAGAAATGTTTTGTAAAATATTTCTCTCAGTTAAACAGAAATTGGGGAAATAAACAAAAAGGGGGGCAATATTTTGACTTTAACTATATATATATATATATATATATATATAAACAAGAGCAGTGGTTCCCAAAGTGGGGGTCGCTGGGTGACTAAAAAATAAATAAATAAATAAAATAAGCCTGATTAAACTATTAGAATTATCATATTTTATTTAAAACCTAAACAAATAGTATTTATTAGTTACATTAAGAAAAACAACAACAACATGCATTTTTTTCCCTTATATTGTGACCCCTGGGAAGTTTATTTATATTAATAATAACAATTGCAATATTTTATATTAATAGCATCAGTTGCAGCAGATTGATTTTACAGCTCAATGATAACCTTTAACACTTTTAAGGCAGTCACGTACAATAAAAAATAAATGTTTATTAAAAAGATTTAAAAATCATTCACAATGAAGATAGAGGATGATCGTTAGGTGGCAGTCTCCAAAATGAAACCAATAATAGTCTTGTGCAATAAATATTGTGCCCACCAGTCTCATTAGATGAGGTTAATATTAAATTAAACAAATGAAGAAATGAAAAAAAATAAATAAATAAATTATATATATATATATATATATATATGATTCTTATTCTGTTGCTCTTTTTTGTTTTGTCAATATGGTTGTGTTTTTAGGCCTATTGGTGTCTGCACCATTGTGTACAATGCTTGTATGTTTATACTCATCTCCGAAGATAGTGGGGGTCACAAATTGTTATTTTGGGTGTCACAAGCTCAAAAGTTTGGGAACCCCAGATTTAGAGCATAGCATAAACTTATTAATTCTTTCTAACTCTTTCAAACTGTGTTAATGTGCAATTTAAATGCAGTTGTGATTAATTTGGGACCTGCACAATTAAAAAATAAAAACAAAATCAATATTAATGGTAACACTTTAGTTTAAGTAACAATTCACACTATTAACTAGTGACTTATTTTCTGTTTATTATAAAGATATTAATTGTCTATTAGTACTTAGAATGTATGATCTTATTTTAAATCTAACTCTTAATAAGCAGCTAATTATTGGTTTATTTTCTTAATTAACTGTTTGTTAATAGCATGAATTGTGCATTAAAAAAAAAGTGTGACCATATTTATGTTTAAAGGCTGTGTCTCTGGCACACTAAACAGAATCTATAAACTCACGTGACTAAGTAGTTTTGTATCTTGTTATTTTAAATAAGTCATAACAATGCCATTATGCACACATTTGGCCTGAGATTGACCCAGTTGGTTTCTGGTTACCCAGGAGTAAAGCTGACAGTGCAAATGCAGTGGAAGGAGAACGGTTTACTGTTCACCAGAATGGTTCACTGGAGATCCATAATGTGATGAAAGAGGACATGGGAGAGTATTCTTGCTTTGCACAAAACACCGAAGGCAAAGTTGCCATTGCTGCAACACTTGAAGTCAAAGGTAAGAGAAATTTGCTCTTAAGATTCATTTCATTTACACAACCCTAATTGGATCCTTGTTGGGAAACTTTAATTAAAATCAAACTTAAACAAATCAGTTTAAATAATTAACTTACATTTAAATGCCCCCATATGCATAGTGAAAACTTTATTTTTTTTTATTTAACCTTATTTACATTTATTTAAATACATTTTATTGAAATAAAACTTATTTAGAGTTTTATTTAAATTTATTTACAGAAATAAAGGTGAAAATTATTCATACCTCCGTCAAATTCTGATTAAAAGTTACTTAAATAAATACTTTTACTTAAACACATATATTTTTCCACAATGATGCACATTGTCTTATAATTTTTGGGGGAAAAAATAAAAAAAATAAAATAATATTTGTATTTGTAAGTAATTTCGAGCTTGATTGTATACAATGTACTGATTTTATACAATGTATTCTAAATTTGGTAAGTGTGGCTTTGTGCTTTATTTGTATCTGTCATAAAACAGATACTTAGTATTTTGTGATACCACAAACATATTTCAATATATAACTCTATATAAGTTCATTGTGTTTTGTTTCTTTAGATTATTTTATTTCGTTCTCCCTGTAGTGCTTTTGTATTCCCCAGAACAGTAAAATTCAATATAGATACATAGTATTTCTAAGGGAAAATGTTGGTCTAGGTTTGTTAATTCTACTAAGTTGCCTTTTACTATCTAAAGAAAGAACTTAAAGTAAAATTATACCACATTAAACTTAAATAAAACCACCTTATTGTACCCACACTGTAAAATAAATTATGTAAAATGTACAGTATTACTGGCAAGGTGCCAGTAATGCTGAAATATTTACAAGTGCACTGTAAATTACATTTTGAAACAAATATATTGTAATTATTAAATGACTTTGCACTTGTACATTTTACAGTATTTCTGGCAACCAAAATAAGTATTACTGAGCACTGTAAATGAACAATTGCATCTGTAAAACTAATTGTAATTGCCAATTTGCAGTGCATTCATAGGTTTTACAGTATTTCTGGCAATTTTTCCAGTATCACTAGCTAAATTTACAAGCACACTGTAAATAAACACTATTACAACTGTGCTGTAAAACTAATTGTAATTGCTAATTTACAGTGCATTTGTAATTTTTTACAGTATTTCTGGCAATTTTGACAGAATCACTAGCTAAATTGTTGTAGATTTACAGCACAACTGTAATTGTAAATCTACAGTTAATTTACAGTGCACTTGCTATTTTGGTTGCCAGTAATACTGTAAATTTTCAAGCAATGTTTTACAGGGCAGTTAAATTACTCTCCAGATTGTGTACAGTTTAATAAGTAAATGTTGCTTACCTAATTTACTAAGAATATCATGGGTTGTAGGGAAAAGGGAAATGATCCACTGTTTATCTTCCCAGATCCCACCAGAATAGTCGATCCTCCACGTGATTTGCGGGTTTTGGCGGGAACCACTATTCAGTTTTCATGCCAGCCAGAGTTTGATCCCTCTTTTGGTGATGACTTTGAAGTCCTGTGGGAGAAAGATGGCATTGCCCTCAACGGCAGCGAAGATGGAAGGTGAGTTTAGAACATGTCTCATTTCTACTGTTGGGCCAGAGTGAGCCAGGGCTTACAATAGGCTTGGAGCAAAAAAAGAAATAAAAAACAATATCATAAGTGTATTTCCAGTTGTCTGACCTGTAACCTCAGAGTACTGCTTTAAAACCGACTCTTAACCTGCCTAACTGGAGCAAAGTTTTTCATTTGTAGTGCAAATGAAATGTATATGTATATGAGTATACATTGTAGGAGTACACTTTTGGTAAGTAGTTCATTTATGAACTTTGTATCTTGCTCAGAATTTGGGAATTAATTTACTGATACAACTGCACACACAGTAAAGGACATATGTACACACATCTAACCTTTAAATAACAAGTCTATCTCTTCAACCACTAAAGGCCATGAGTGAGTATCCTTTGACTAAACCACAAGTAGTTTTATACTACAATCACTTTTACTCCTACTCCTATAATTAACAGTGTAAGACCCACTGTTGTATTATTACAACATTATTTTTATCTGTACATGAATAAATTTGCACATATTTTTTTCTCTCTTTGACCACACATTCACAACTAAAGGGTTATAATGTTCAATCTCGCAATGCTATTAAATTGTAAATTTTGTTAATAGGCATATATTAAATTTGAAATGAACTGACACAACTTGACAACTTCCCTTGAAGCATAGCATCTTGTTTTACAAAAATAAATAAATAAATAAATCCAGAGTTAAGTAAGTAAAATGCCTTAAAATATATATATATATTTCTGTGATTAGTAGTATGTCTAGATCATGCAGGTATTTAAGTACCATTGAATGCTTTTATCATATGAGATTTTGAGGTTGTTGTGTTAATGTTGTAATTTTACAGCGCTTGGCCAAAGGGGTAGCAGGATTTGACAAGGCATCTTACACACTACATGCATGAATTTCTCTTGAAATTTCTCATGCATGAAATGTATAGTGTACAACCACATACAGGTTTTAAAGTGCTTTTTTTTATATATTTTAAGTTTAAACTCAATGTAATTACTGCAAATTAATAAGTATAATTATGAAACAAACAATTGGATAATTGGAAGGTAAATCATATTAGTTTCTTTTCATTCATAAAATATACTGAACTTGTTTTTCCAGCTATTTGTCTTCTGCATTGAGCAACAGGTGATAATGGTCAGTAATGTTTGGCCAGTAGTGCTATAAGCATATAAGTAGAGAACAATAAAATAGCCAGACAGTATTGTGGGCATCGTGGAATCTGTGAAGTCTGTAAAACGGTTTTCTTCAAAATTATTAAGCTTGAAAAAACACCAAGGGCTCTATTTTAACATTCTAGGCGCAAAGTCTAAAGCGCATTGCTCAAAAGCATTAAGGGTGTTTCCGAATCCACCTTTGCTATTTTAAGGATGGAAAAATAAGCTCTGTGAAAAATAAGCTCATGGTCTAACAGGAATGTGCTTATTCTCTTTAAGAGTTATTGATGTGTTTTGAGCATAACATACATTAAACCAATCAGAATCTCATCTTCCATTCCTTTTAGTCAGTTGCCTCATGCCATGGTGCATTTGCTATTTGATGGCAGACTTTGTTAGTGGAAAAACTGAATGCTTCACTAGCGAGAAAAAATAAATAAACAAACCATCTGCAGCGTGAAAATAAAGAACAAGCCTCCTACATTTGGCCTCTTTACTTTCTCTTTACTTTACTTTTACTTTACTCCTTTACTTTCGTGGATAAGGAAATGGTGGAAACTCACTCCACTGAAGACATTCATTAGTCTACTTTTATAATTTCATTTTGTAAGCACAAAGATTTGTTTCAAAACTGTTTCTAAATGTAGTTTTAATTTACAGCCAATTAATAAATGAATAATAAAGAAATGTGTTAAAAAAAAAAAAAACTGAGTTATATCCAAACACACGTCCTATTCTTATGCTTCATAAGGTTATGCATACGTCTCCAAAACCTGACAGATGAAGAAATCTGAACTCGTTTCAATAACGAAACATATGGGTATAATAAATAATATTGCTGATATTAATAACATTATACAAAGGACAATCGTTGAATAAACTGAAAAAGCCCCCCAACATGAAGAAAGCATGGAGGTAGAGGTTTTCATATTTATATTGCTGTACATCCTGTGTTTATTAAGCAATGTGTAAGCATTTAGACTCACATCAGCGCATAACTAACGCGCTCTGTGCTGGACTTTACCAGCTTAGTTAATCAATGGCGCTGTCTATTTCAGTTTCTCAGAATAGCAACACCAACACATTCTCACGTATGACACAACTCGTACGAATTCGTACAAATTAGCCACTAAACTGACAAATTATAAAATACTTACGTTTTCTTGTGTGATCAGGCTGACAACACGCCAACAATGCCACTTAACACGCTTCCTTATTAGACCGAAACACCCATGAGTCCACAAAGTGGCGCAAATTGATTAGCTATTTAAACAACGTGGTGCCAAATGTGAAAATTACTGTTGCGCTGGTCTAAAAAGAGCAACAAATTGCGCCTGACAAGTGTTGCGCCTTATTGCGCTGGGTGTATGATAGGGCTATATAGGATATTTTTTTGTTTTTCTAAAGTTATGTCTTTCAGAGTTAACTAGCGGATTCTCATTGTACCACATTTCTTTGTTATAAATTAGCATTTCTATTAGTATTTTTCCTTTAAATTGATTGTTTTTGTAGATGTAAAAGTCAGATATCAACAAAGTCACAGGGAAGAAATATACAAATAAAAACATGATTACAATTCTCTAAGTTTTTCAAGTGCTCTCTCGTCTTTTTATAAGCATGTTGTGCATTTGATATTTCAATTTTTAGCATAAGTAGCTTTTAGCAATGCATTCTGCGATCAGAATCCACATTAGATTGCAATCAGGGCAGGCGCTGATGTCTGAAAGTGTGTTTTGAGCACTAGCATGGTCGCCCGACAGTGGAATGAATTCTGAGCCATTTTTTTGCCAATGTGTGTAGATATATCCTGGAAGACGGAGTGCTGGAGATCATTAATGTGAGTTTCGGAGACCAGGGCTTTTACGCGTGTGTGGCCAGAACGCCCGTTGACCAAGACGTTGCAGTGGCACAGCTTTCAGTCGTGGGTGAGTAATGTGCTTTTTTAGTCTTTATGGTTTTGAGAAATAAACACAGACTGAAGTTTGAGGGGCTGAAATGGTTTTGGCACATGACACAGGTGGGATTGAACTGCCTGCTGTGCCGTGGCTGGAATTACAGCCCTTAATAAGACAGCAGCACACTGTATTTGTACAAATGAACAAGCTGGAGAGCTGACCTGGCAGGTAATGCTTGAGCTCTGACATGTTTGAAACCAGCTGGAGTCATTTTCCAGGGCCGTCCTCCTCTCTTCTCTCTATCATTTTCATCTGTTCTCCTGCTCTCCCATAAGATGGCAGAGGGAAAAAAAAAACAATATAATATAATGAATCTGATTGAAATTGAGATTCCTAATCGATTGACAGCCCTAAATAAGTTTTGTTGTTTCTTTAGATGTTCCTGATCCACCAGAGGATGTGATACTGTCTGAACATAATGGCCGAAGTGTGAAACTGCAGTGGACTCCGGGAGATGACCATAATAGCTCCATTACCGGTAACATCGTCTAAACCCCCATTCAGTTCACATATTAGTAGAGTACATATTATAGACTCTGAGCTAGACTTACTAACTGATTTTGCCATTGCAAACTTCTTTTGACATACAATAATAATAATAATAATAATAATAATAATAATAATGATGATGATGATGATGATGATGATAATAATATGAATTATAATAATAATAATAATAATAATAATAATAATAATAATAATAATAATAATAGTATGAATAATAATACTGAAAATATATACACTCACCAGTTTAGAATCCATTTTGTCTTAAGAACTGCCTTAATTCTTCATGGCATAGATTAAACAAGGTACTGGAAATATTCCTCAGAGATTTTTGCGGTTAATTTTGCTGTGTCAACCCCGGATTAATAAAGGGACTAAGCCAAATAGAACATGAATGAATGAATGAATGAATGAATGAATGAATGAATGAATGAATGAATGAATGAAAGAAAGACATGGCACGTTATCCTGTTGGAAGCAGCCATCAGAAGATGGGTACACTGTGGTGATTAAGGGATGGACATAGTCAGCAACACTACTCAAGTAGGCTGTGGTGTTGACACATTGCTCAATTGGTACAAATGGGCCCAAAGTGTGCCAAAAAGTATCCCCTGCACCATTACACCACCACCCTAGCCTGAACCATTAATACAAGACAGGATAGAACCATGCTTTCATGTTGTTGTCTGACCCTATCATCCGAATGTCACAGCAGAAATCGAGACCAACGTTTTTCCAGTCTTCTATTATCCAATTTTGGTGAGCTTGTGTGAATTATAGCCTCAGTTTCTTGACAGGAGTGGCACCCGGTGTGGTTTTCTGCTGCTGTAGCCCATCTGCCCCAAGGTTGGATGTGTATGCTCTTTTGCATACCTCGGTCGTAACGAGTGGTTATTTGAGTTACTGTTGTCTGGCCATGCTCATTTCAACTCTGGCATCAACAGGGCATTTATCACTAGAGATTTTTTTCTTTTTCGTACCATTCTCTGTAAACCCTACAGATGGTTGTGCATGAAAACCCCAGTAGATCAGCAGTTTCTGAAATACTGCAGCTGAAAGACCAGCCCATCTGACTACAACAACCACGCAAAGTCACTTAAATCAACTTCCTTCCCCATTCTGATGCTCAGTTTGAACTGCAGCAGATCGTGTTGACCATTTGGCTGATTAGAAATTTGCGTTAATGAGCAGTTGGACAGGTGTATTTAACAGTGTCCAGTGAGTGTATAATAATAATAATAATACTGTTAGGATTTATGCAGTGATGCATTAGCAATACATGTTATGAAAATAATTTTAATTTTATTTTAGTTTATTAAATGTGACATGAAATTGAATATATATATATATATATATATATATATATATATATATATATATATACAAACTGTTGTATAAACGCAATATCACACCTGTAGCAGTGCGATATGGCTGTATATCGGCACTAGTGGGGGCACTAAGGAACGCACGCCTCCCACCAGTGCTAATATACAGCCATATTAAACTGCTACAAGTGTGATTATAT